TTTTTCAAACATATGAAGACGTTATACAATTCAGGATTTTACTTACGTCCATGCTCATTCTTTATTCTTTCTTGGCCTCTGGGATATATAATGATGAATCTGATATTAAAGCATCTCTGTTTAAAGACAGTTTAAAGAGGTAAAGTTTAAAATTATTGGACAGCCTGACATTTTTTAAAGTGATTGCTTTTTATTTTAGAGGTGTTGCATGCTGAACTCTTCATCTGATCTCTGTTTAAAGACAGTTTAAAGAGGTAAAGTTTAAAATTATTGGACAGCCTGACATTTTTGAAAGTGATTGCTTTTTATTTTAGAGGTGTTGCATGCTGAACTCTTCATCTGAAAAAAAAAATCCAAAACAAAACATAATAAAAAAAAAATTTTAAAAACTTTCTGCTTAGGCACCATGAGTTTGAAGTATAGATCAAATAAATGACCTTGTCCTTGGAGGTTCACCCTTCCTCCACAGGACTTTACATATTACAGTAACAGAACCATTGACATCTTTGCATTTTATATCTTCCTTCTCAAAGCTGTTTGACTTAATTAAAATTTAAACCAAATGAAATGTATCTTGGATTTGCAGGCTACTGCCACAACATGCATTGCAGATAACTAAAAAGCCCAGATGACATTCAGAAACCTAAACAAACCCAGGCCTTCTCCTAAATATAGCAAGTGCCTGCCACTGTTGAAAACCATGATGACAAAACATCTTATCGCCTCCTCGTTGTAATTTGATCCTTGCTATCTGCAGCCATCAGGGCAAAGGCTTGTCCAATGTTGTAAAGGGCAATGACATCTGTCCAAACGGGAAGTGTGAAGCCCTGGAAATATTTCTTAATCTATTGTAACCTTAAACAACATTCTGGATGGCAAAAGAGAGTATTAATCTAGTGACCTCACTGTAAATTAATACACACATCTGCAGTGCTACCAGCAGAGATGGGCAGCATCTATTAGGTGTAATGATAAAACATTTAACAACTATTATTTTGCTGAAATCTTCCTTTGGATCAGGCATTGTCTGGCAGCCATTTTTCATTCTCCAACTGTTCACACAGACACTTTAATGGAAAAAGAGATACCACCTGGAGTACTTACTAGCTTTACAAGCACTGGCCTGAGCCTAAGAAGATTCACTGTGTCTCACTCCCTTCTGACTGGTTTAACCCCAGAGCCTGATGCTGTTCTTTTACTCAAAGGTGTGGAGTAGCCTGCCACTAGGGGATGCTGTTGCTTCTTTGCTCCAACTCCTGGCAGGTTCAATTCTGACTTATCTGTCTCAACACAAGAGAGAAAAGGAGGCTTTACTCTTCCCCGGGGAGTTTGTTCCTCTTAAACCCCCAGAGTAAGCTGAATGTGTTGGAACAATTCAGAACAAAATGAAATGGCTAGTAAATTAAATAGCCTTGTTAAAATGTTTTCAAATATCTTCCCGTGGTGGATCAGAACAGCTTCTTGGTAGCCTAATAGTTTCATGAGGGTACGGGGATGTTAACAGTGTTTGAGGCACTGCCAAGGGAAGTCAGGGCAAATGGGAATGAGCTGGTGTGTCATAGGAGGTGAGGAGAGGCGGTGCCCTTGCTGACCCTTCCCCAGTCTGGCAGAAATCTGCTTACCCCCTCTATTGTTTGAGAATTGGCTCAGACACCATTTACAAAAGCGTGTCCATATGCCAGTTTTGGGGGTTGTTAGAAAAACAAGTTCTGGGGTCACATTAACTTGGGAGACTCTGGGTTGAAAAAGTTAAGAAAACTTTTACTTGGTGCAGAACTTTCAGAACATTTAATTTACAATGCGCTGTGCACTGTGCTTTGTGGATCTAAGGCTGGGTATTTGCTGGGTGTAGACACTATAACAGTGGTTCTCAATAAAGTGGGAGGGGTGGCTTGACCCTAAGGGACATTTGACAATGTCTAGAGACATTTGGGGTTGTCATGACTGGGGAAAGATGCTAATGGCTTCTAGTGAGTAGAGGCCAAGAATGCTGCTGAACATCCTCCAATGCATAGGATGGCCTCCCCCTCCTTCCCCAACAACTAAGAGTTATCAAGCCCAAAAGGTCAGTAGTGTAGAGGTTGAGAAGCCCTGCTTTGTAATATACACGGTTTCTTACATTTGTCTAACCACAAAATTTATTTTTTCTTAAAGTGACTTGCAGTACTAGAGTCTCATGGAAAATAAGTTGGAAAACTCTGCCCTACGTTTATCAACAATGTTCTGACTGCCAAGTGGCATGTTCTTCCCTTCATGCTCATTCTCTTTGACCTCCATATGGCATTTGTCATTGTGGACTGGCTCCTCCATCTTGAAATTCTCCCAAACTGGCTCGAGGCTGCATTGTTTTCATTTTCCATCTCCTTCTGTAACCTCTTTTTCTCCATTTTGGCTTTTCTTCTTCTCGCTCCCTAAATAGAGGCATCTCTTGTGGTTTTATGCTTCATTGTGATCAGTCTCTAGAAGACTCATTCACTTCTATGATTTCAGTACCTCCATGCCAGTGGCTCCCCCTGTATACCTCCAGTGGCTCCACCTGTATACCCACCCAAAGAATTTAAGTGGAGCCATCTCTTCCCAAAGAAATCTGTATTTTCAGTTATACATTGGATTCTTTGGCCAAAGTAAAAACGTCCCCTCTCCAAAACCATTTCTTCTTCTTTGACTTTCTATTTCCCTCCTCCTTTAATTTTTTCTTAAATTCTTCCAGTTCTCTTATTCAAACAGATTTGAACCCAAGTTAATCATTAAGCCTTGTGAGTTTTTCTCGCCCTTTTGTTTATCCCTTCTGAAATGAGGCCTTGATTGTACTGAAATAAATTCCAAGTCACCCCTTCCATGTAAGTCTGCACAAATCACTGTTTCAGTCATCCTAAAACACTGCAATGATTCTTTTTTAAAAAGTTCCAGTGAGTGAGGACTTTATTCAAAGACCACACAACTTATGCAGGCACTCACACTTCCCACAGTGTGGCACCCACCTTAAGCCTTTTTTCCTAATGGCTCCTCTGTTGAAATTCCAGACAGAAAAAATGCTCCTGTGAGATCAAAGATGTGGAGATGGGGGGGTGCAAGACACTTGGGGAAAAGAAGTTTTCGTAAACCTTTCAGAGTTGAATTATCTATGGGCTATGTGAGCTGAACAATTCAAATTCTAAATTATCATAGATACATCTGAATCATCCTTTAGATTAAGGATTCTCTATAAATGGGCTAATATGGTCCTTACTAGCATGTAAGGAATGAAAGTAAAGAAGGATAGAATTCAAGGTTTCTATCTGTTAAGGACGATAGCCTATCATAATAATATTAGCAGTAAATATTTATTGAATTTAGAATGAAACGCTACTGTAAAAGATACTGTCATTGTCCTACTTATATCCCCTCAGCACTCATCTCTACATGATGAAGTACCTACAAATACTGCAAATACCTGCGACTCTATTAGAAGGCCTGTCCCCCCTTCCCCTGCCTCTGGCTGCAGGTGTGTGCTCAGCCTACTCCCAGTGCAAGCTGTAAGTGCCAGAGAGTCGGTGGGTACAGAAGCCACCTTCAGCAATGATGGACAGAATGTTGGTGGATAAATACTCCAGTTTCCTCACCCTTTAATTGTACTAACTCTGAAGCATGTTCTGCAAAGTTTCCTGGAGATCCTCATTGGGACTGAGCTCCAATTGCTCACAGTAGTCTCTTGCTCGATAAAGTTCCCTTTATTGACTTATTTCCCTCTTCTGTTTCACTTCCCCACCCCAGCTGTGCTTTCTAGGATCATCTCTCAAAACAAAAACAAAAACGAAATTGAATTCTTGTCTCTGAATCTACTTTTAGGGGAACCCAAACTAAGACAGCCACTGAATGTGACATTGCAAACTGAACACTTAAGAAGAGTCTGTGGCATCTGGAATTCATGCAATTGGAGTTGAATAAAAAATATTTCTTTCAGGGGTCAGGGGTTATCTTCTTTGTGGAAAAGTTTCTTTCACACAGATCATTAAAGATTTGGACAAGAAATATGGAAGCTTTGTCTCTGGAAAACCACCGTTAATTTATGAAGGGAGGGCAGGAATTGTCCCTATTATTCAAGTGCTTTGGATACCAAAAAAAGTCATTAAAACTGAAAAATATCTGCTAATAGAATGCTTGCTTATAAAATTACTCTCAACTCAAATTTCCTTTTGCACTTAACACTATGTCTATTTTACCCATCATGCCCTAGCAATTAGTGTCAGAATATTTGGCCAAAGAATGCAAATAAAACTGTAGCTCAATTTCAATAGGAAATCTGAAACCTTGCAAAAAAAATGCAGCATTTCATGAAATGCATGAAAGTGATGTTGGAGAACTGCTAGAATCAATGCAAAGCTATGGACACATGAAGGTCTGGCAGAATAATATGAGACAGCAACTGAAGAAGGGAGAATGGATGTGGGTGGTGCCCTTGATAAGAACTTTCCAACAGGGTGATCTGAATATCAAAGGATTACGGGAAGTTCTTGAGAAAATTAGTGATGTCTTCAAATAGGTTGGCAAAAAATGATGTTCTTTGTAATTATTCTGTGCAAGTTAAGCCTGAACGGATGGATATTGCATTGTGTTTTGCTACATTTTGTTACGGGAAAAATAGCATTCCAGAACATTCCATTTAAATCTTGAGTGACAGAACTGCATTTAGTTCTTTTCTCCTACAAAGTGTTTTTTCCCCCCAAAATCTGGTATATGACACCCTTTACGAGAATCATGAAACATCTGCTTAGTTTAGTAGATTACAACAGGAAGAGGCTTATCCCTTGCCTTACACATAGTCTCCTTTGGTTTAAAATCACTTAAACACTGAGCTGAAAACATTTGCTGTCTTTTCTGATTTACAGATACGTTTCTCAGAAGCATATCTGTAACTTCCAAATGGTCCCAGCTGGCTGTAGCTAAGGCCTTGTGTAATTGATAAGATTCATCTGCTTCAAGGCACAGATTACGTGCAGGGGCAGGCTCTTTGTGTCCCTGGAGAATCTGGTTGGGGTAGCAGCTAAGCCTCAGGACCACTTGCTCTCTATATAAGTGCGAAGATAAGCCTGAGGAGGGAGAAGCAGAGAGGGAAGCAGCTTGCTGGGCTCTTCCTGCTGTTGAAAACTTACCCAGCCCTTGCAGAGGAAAATTTCCTCCTGTCTTTTGCCCTGAATGTTTTCCCAAACATGAAGGTAAGATAATAATTTTGTTACTTTTGTAAATAAAGCTATCTCAAAAGAGGCAGAGGAAAATTTCCTCCTGTCTTTTGCCCTGAATGTTTTCCCAAACATGAAGGTAAGATAGTAATTTTGTTACTTTTGTAAATAAAGCTATCTCAAAAGAGGGGTAATGCTTAACTGAAAGAAGTCAAATAAGAAGAGAAGTATGAGAAAATACAGAAGAAAAAAATCTTGGGGGTGACGTTTAAAAATCCTTATTTAAATGTATTTAATAGTTCAGCCAAAGTGAATTTCTTTTCCTTATCTTGCAGTTAAATTATAGGTTCAGAGGGCTGGGAATTGGAAATTAGAGACAATGTTTATTAAAGTCGTGAGAAAGCCATGAACACAATAGTACTATTGTTATTTCTTAGAAAAAAATTTCTAGCAGTGTATTTTGTTTGTTTGTTTTGATTTGGAGCCAAGCAATGAGGATCTGTGGTTAAACTTAACTAAGACCCTTACAGAAAAATGAATTTGCAGGCTTGGAACTTTAGGATTTGGAATCTTGGCTAAAAGGATCAGGAATGTGACAGTAGAAGATACAAGCAGATGGAATGAAACTAAAGTTTTACCAAATACACATGTTGCTCCAATGCAAAGTGGCCAAATGTTTAAAATAAATGACTATTCAACCAAAAACAAGACCAAAGACAGAAATCACTATCATAGACTGAATTTCTAGGTGCACGAATAAGTTGAAATTGCTATAACTATTTTATTGTTGTAAATTTTGGTATTTAAACTTTAAAAATGTTTCATTATAATACTGGAGCAATAGTTTTACAGCCCTGTCAGCCACTGGATTGCGTCTGAGGTCACTATTCTCTCCATTTGCAGTACTGGATCCACGCTCACTCACCAATGCGGTTGGAGGAGGAAGATGTGGATCTTGAATAACCCATGCTTTATATGGGATTAAACAATTAAAAGTTAAACACAAATGGCAAAGTTAATTTGTTTAATGTTATGATGCTAGAACACCAACTAACCTTACAAAGTTACATGACATAATCTAATCTCTTACTCCGCCTTGTACTTTTATTTTAAAATTAGAACACTTGTTAGCTCTCAGAGAATGTGATGCTCTTTCTAAAGTCATCTAGCTAATATGCTTTCCCCTAATATTTGCATTAACTGTCAATAATTTCCTTATTTATTTTATGATGAGACATTTTAATAATTGTTTTATGCTTAAAAATGTGTTTATAATCATTGATTATTACGGCATCTTACTGCTGTATTAATCAGTATACTTTTATCTTTTAATTAGTTGATAGAATATCAAAAAATAAAGCAATTATTTCACTTCAAGTTGCATGCAGAGTTCCTACCTATATTTGTAAGTAGATATTCATATTTTTATAGTAAGCTTGAAGGACATGCTTTTGTGATATGTTTCAAAGAAGAGAAACTTGGGAAATCCCTGGGGCTATCAAGACACAGGAGATGGCTTCCATGTCTGACCTTTTAAAGGGGAGTAATCTTTTGCTTCCCTACTTCCCCCACCATCCATGTGAACTAAATTCAGACATGTGGCCCCAGAGCCTCCTGTGGTTCTCTCTCTGTGTACCTTGGACAGGAGATAACGTGGGTCTGAGGTGTTTGAAGATTTCAGAGCCCAAGGGGCTTCCCTTTGAGCTGGTAGGCCAGCCATTTACTCTGTCCTCCCAGTACTGAGTGGATCCTGGGGTCTGTGAACCTAGGGAATGGGTCACAGGAGGCTGGGATGTTGTCAGGCACAGTAATGTCTCCAGAGTAAGGAGGAAGTGCTAATGCTCAGCCAGTGATGAGAAAGAAGAGAAGAGAATTCAGGGAAATGTAGCTCTAGTTTAGCTACAATGACAGTACAAAAAATAGCATATCTTCTCGAACAGCATATCTTCTCTGATTTTTTTACAGCATCATCTCAGATGTATGTCTATCTCTGTCATTCACATGACTATTTATTTAAGATTATTCTCTCTCTCTTGTCCATTTGATAAGATACTCTTTCCAAAGGCAAAGAACAGAAATGCTTCCTTTTCAGTGATCCAGCCAGCAAAGTTTCAAGAATTTTTAGTAGATTTGAGCTTGTATAACTCAAGAACAGAAACGGCCTTGTAATAAGCAGCCCTGGATGGGTTATAACACAGAGTATGTGGTTGGGGAAGCTGGTGGCAAAGGAACCATGACAAAAAGTACATTTCTTAGAATTTGGTTGAAATTCTTTTAAACACATGTAACAGGATGCTAAAAATGATTTTTTTCATGATGCCCATTTTGGCTGAGAGTCAAAGGCTAAGAATAGCAAGTACTCAAGACCCTCACATTTTAAAACAAGATGCTGGACATTCTATGCAATATTACAAAGAGAGTAGCCCACAATCTGTCTGGTGACCCTTAGATCATCCCATCCTCAAAAGTATGCAAGATTATGTCCCTCGAAGTAAGAAGGATATAGAAAATAAAACTCTATGCACGTTTGAGAAAATTTAAATACACAAGCCTGCCTTTAGCAGAGTAAATCAACTCAGCAGTATCAGTTACAGCCTGGACATTCAGAGTTTGGCAGGACAAGGATGTGTGCACGTAGCCCATGGACCAGATGTGGACCTTTGGAAGGGAGTCAGACTTGGGCTGTCAAGGACTGTGCCTGAGAGACTGTCTGCCTGCAGGATGAAACAACCCCACAGCTAGCATTGGTATGGAAAGGACTCCCAGGAAGTAGGCCCTGGTGAGAGTCAACAGTGAAGAACAAAGGGATGAATCATTTGTGCCAGAGAACAGTGGCTATAGATCCCCAGTGGGGAGACGGTCAAAGAACCACAAAAGCACCTTAAAGATAACAAAGCAGCGTTCAAACATTTAACACATCCTGATTTACCATCACCAGCCTCCAATGGATCAGTCAAGCAAGATCCTTTCACACCCCTCTCACGCCGGCTGCTCTTGCATTGAAAAAGACAGGGGCAGCTTGGGGAGGTGGGCAAGGGAAGCAGAGAAATTTTGAAGTGGACCCCACCCTTCCCCCATTATAAATACCTAGGAACTGGCAATAGGAGAGAAATTTTAAATTGGATGATAAATTGAAGTTTGAATATTAGATTGTTCTAGAGTTTTTATTTTCTGAAAATATGACTTTTAATAGTAATATTAACAAGTGTGGGTAGTATAGGTACAGGATGGGCTTTCCCAGGGACAGGAACAAATGAGTTGAAATAGCACAGAAGAAAAGCACTTTGTTGAAAAACAACGACACATAGTTTGTAATAATAATATTAAACCTTAAAAATTGTATGCTCATATTTGTTGAAAAGTCAGATAAGTATTCATCGCCCCTCTCACCATTGTTCATTCTTTTCCAGGTTAACAACAGCTCCTTGGCACTTTTCTGTCTTTTTGGATATGCTAATCAGGACAATAGGCTTAAAGATTTGTAGAACTATAAAAGGCAGAAGTAGACAACTAGGGTTTGACAACTGAAAGGAAGATACCTAATAAGAGGGTGGGGTGATCCTGGAAGATCACCTGAGGAGGGTTAGTGGAAGGGTCTAGAAAAAAGGTTGGGAAGACACTTTATAGGTACATCAAGGGAAAAGAGGTTTGAGAAGACCAGGGAAGAGAAAGAATATTGACCCATTAAAATGTGGGATAAGATGATTTTATGGACTTTTACGCTGAGTTATGAATTGAATGCATTTGGTATTCTTAGAGAGTCATCAGTAAAGATTTGAATTCTACCCCCCCCCCCAACCACACCACCAGTTGTCAGTTAAAGCAGGAAAACACATATCAATAAAAATAAAATAATAGAAACCACCTATAACTTCACAACCAGAAATAAACTGTTAAAAATTTAAATTCTCCCCCCCCCCCCAACCACACCACCAGTTGTCAGTTAAAGCAGGAAAACACATATCAATAAAAATAAAATAATAGAAACCACCTATAACTTCACAACCAGAAATAAACTGTTGTTTTTTGCTATATTTCTTTCTAGATTTGTTTTTCAATACACATTTGATTTTTCAAACAAAATATAATTGCATTTTCCATACAGTTTTGTGACCTGTTGGGTCCTCAATATTTAGGCTTGTGCTACCACATAAAGATGATTATAAAAGGCCTTGGGTGTTTTAAACTGAGGGAGCCACCCACAGCACTAAGAAATCAGTTGACAGTCACTGCCTCCTGCCTAGGCTGTGCTTGAACTTTTGATTGCTCATCTGTGAAGCTCATTTCCCTTTTAACTCCTCAGCCATCAGTACTTCTAGGCTTTCTCCCCTCTGGGTGTCCTAATGGCTGCTGAAGATAGAGAGAAGGGGAGTGGAGAAAGGGATTAAAAAATGATGGAAGCATAGTGAAATGCTTGAGGCCATTTAAATCTATTGAGAATATTTAGTTTGTTTGTTCATGGCTTCTCCCAACCACTAGTTGTCTCTACAGAAGTGAACAGCAGGAGGAGGGTCAACAGAATTATATTGAACTTGTATTTTTTTAAAAAAATATTTATTTATTTTTAAATTGACAAATAAAAATTGTATATATTTATTGTATAAAGCATGATTTAAAATATGCATACATTGTGAAATGGCTCAGTTAAGCTAATGAACATATGCATCACTGCACACACTCATCATTTGTGGTAAGAATGCTTGAAATCTACTCTCAATGATTTTCAAAAATTTAATACATTATTACTAACTATAGTCACCATGTGTATTAGTCCAATTTTGTGTTGCTATAACAGAATACCCGAAACTGGGTAATTTATAAAGAAGAGAGGTTTATTTGGCTCACGATTCTGGGACAGCTGCATCTGGTACAAGCCTCAGGCTGCTTCTACTCATGGCAGGAAACAGCAGGCAGACAGTGGGTACACGCAGATCACATGGTGGGAGGAAGCAAGAGAGAGAGAGAAGAGGTGCCATGGGAACTAATAAAGCGAGAACTCACTCACTACCCCCACCCACCAGGGAGAGCATTAATCCTTTCATGAGGGATCTGCCCCCATGACTCAAACAGCTTCCAACACTGCCACATTGGGGGATGAGATTTCCACATGAATTTTGGGGGGATGATAACGTCCAAATTCTATCACCATATTACACAATATATCTCCTGAACCTATTCCTCCTATCACACTGAAATTTGTATCCTTTGACCAGCATCTACCCAACAATTAGCCCCTCCCCTCCCTCTTCCCCAACCCCTGGTAACCACCATTCTACTCTCTACTTCTATGAATTCAACATTATTAGATTCCACATATAAATGAGAAACAAACAGTATTTGTCTTTCTGTTCCTGGCTTATTTCACTTAATTTAATGTCCTTTGGGTTTATCCATGTTGTCACAAATGACAGGATTTCCTTCTTTTTTAAAGGTTGAATAGTATTTGTGTATATATACTACATTTTCCTTATCTATTCATTCATTGTTGGATACTTAGGTTGGTTCCATATCTTGGCTATTGTGAATAATGCTGCAATAAACATGAAAGTATGGCTATCTCTTTGATATACTGATTTCATTTCCTTCGGATACATATCTAGTAGGCAGATTGTGGGATCATACAGTAGTTCTACTTTTAATTTTTCAAGGATCCAAACTTCTATTTAAAATGGAAACGTAAAAGAAGAGCAGAGTGATTTAGCCTTCTGCATGGTTCTGCCACTCTTCCAACTTAACAAATCTTGACTCATCCAAATGTATTTGTTTTCAAGAAATGCAAACTAAAATAATGCTTTATGTTTTTTTTCCTCCAGGTAATAAGCTTATTCATTTTGGTGGTAATTACAGGAGAGTTCCAAATTTTTTCAAGGTGAGAATTTTTTTAATTGTGTATGGAAATTTTTTTTTTTTTTAAGTTTTAGGAAACTCTTTAGTATGGTCTGATTTTTACATTGCAGCTTAAGTGTGTTTATCCCTCCAACATATTTTGTCTTACCATTTTTAGAAAAGGCAATGGTAACAAAAATGTGTTTCATTATTGTTCTTACTTTACTTATTTTTTTCTATGTAGGAATGAAACTTGAATATGAGGGTACTTCAAAAAGTTTGTGAGATTTTTATTATCTTTTAATTCTATTTTTCCATGAAGTTTTTTTTTTTTTTTTTTCCCCTTTTTGTCTTTTTTCGTGTCCGGCAACGGACCGCAACCCTCAGTGTTGCGCCCGTACCAGACTGGGACCGGCAACGGAATCGCAACCCTCAGTGCTGCGCCCACCCCTCGCTCAGCCAGTGAGCGGGAACCGGTCCGTATGTGGGATCCAAACCCTCGGCAGGAGCGCCGCCGCGCTCCCAAGCGGTGCACTGTAGCAATGCGCCACCGGGCCGGCCCTCCATGAAGTTTTTGAAGTACTCTCATACTAAAAATAAGATTCAGAGAATCACAGCAGACCTAGACATCCTACAGCAGCATTTTTTTTTTTTTTTTTGGTGGCTGGTTGGTACAGGAATTGAACCCCGCACCTTGATGTCATCAGGACATCCTACAGCAGCTTTTTTTTTTTTTTTTTTTGGTGGCTGGTTGGTACAGGAATTGAACCCCGCACCTTGATGTCATCAGTACCATGCTCTAACCAGCGGAGCTAACTGGCCAGTCTCTGGAGCAGTATTTGATCTTTAAATGTAATCCTTGCAAAACATCCTCTGGATTTTATTTATTTATTTTCGAATGGCCAGTACAGGGATCAGAAACCTTGACTAGACTTTAAAGGTTGAGAGTTTTTTAAGAAATAGTTTCTTTGGCTCTTGAGACCTGGAAAAAAGCCAGCATCATTATCCATGGCTTTGTTTTTCTCTCACTGTCAGATTGGTGGGACAGAACCGGGTAGGTTCACTTTGTGGAATTATCAAAATATTCTGTGCTGGGAACTGGGAATAAAAAGAGGAAGAAGACAGCACTGAGGGTCTACTGGGTGATTAGATCTTGGGACAGTTCATCGCAATACAAATGTACTAAGGGCTCTGAGAGAGGCCTCCAAAGGGTAATGGGGGAACACAGGAGCGAAGGCTGCAAGCTTCCCCTCCTATGACTCCGTGTTTGGGGAAGGCCTCTGCCTTTCCCTCAGACACAAACTAGACAAATAACAGTAAGTTCGGATTGTTTAAGGGTCAAAGATATGCAAGTACTTGGATCGTTGGTGCCATATAAAAACTACAGGTTAGCAAGGTTGGTTCCATGAAAGCATCCCAGGTGCACAACACTACAAAATGGGGCTTGTTACTTTCGGGGTTACCTGGCAAACTTAGATATGCAAGAATCACCTTGACTCAAGATGTCTCCCAGCCTAGGAATGTGCTGGGATTCCAGAAATCAGGAATCCTGATTTTTTAATTCTTTGTAGAGAATTGTTTTAGACAAGGCTTTCTTGATCTCTTAGAACTAACCCATGAGACCTCCTCCATGCGACATGGCTGGAGTTGAGCTTTGTGTGAGAGTTGTCGCTCCATTTTCCACATGTACTTAATATGAGTAGACTTGTTTACTTTCAAATTGCCCCTCTTGGGAGTATGTTTGAGAAGTGGCCTAAATGAACGGGGAGCATTTAAATCTAGATTCCTGTCCATTCAGCCTCTGCCGGTTTTACTTTCCACTTCTCATAGGGTCTTATTAGAGCTCTTATCTCTCAGTTAAGAGTTTCTGGGTAACTCTTCAACTCATCATTCAGTATCCCTTTAAAGGCCATAATATCTTCCTCCTAAATGTTCTCACCTACCTTCCCACCTCTGAACACTTCCTTTATATTTCCATACCACATTGTACACATTTCTGTTATGAAATCTATTAAACTAGATATATTGTATTATTGTTATTTTTTGTACATCTGTTCTCTGTCCTTCCCTCTATCAATAGTCAATGACCTCTCTTTTATGATTTCTACAACTCTGTACTTGGTACTTAATTTCTACAATTAGTACTTGGTACTTAATAGATGTTTAATAAATGTTAATCTCTAAGAAAATGCCCCTCTTCCACATTTTTAAAATTTAGTTTGGAATACTTTTAATGTCTCTTGGGAAAAAAATTTGTGAAGCAGTTTTTGACTATTTTTGACTATTCTTTGTGCCCCCTTTGCTTATCTTTCTACCTGCTTTATGATGGACAATTTGGTATGATAGTGCCTCCTCTCCAGTCAATTGCCAGTGGGGTACCTATGGCCCTTGGTCAGAATGCAATGGCTGTACCAAGACTCAGGTAGGACCACGCAAATGTTTGTATTTGATTATTTATACATAGAAATAGCTTAGATGTGGTCAAAACAGCATTAACTTTTAAATGTTCATTAATTAATGTTACTATTTCTTGACAATTATATTAGTAGTTGTGAAAAGAGAAAAGTATGACTTGGGTAAGAATTAATATTGTAATAAAGTAATTTCTGCATCCATTTTTCCTGAAGGACTTTTCTAATTCTTACCTTTGACTAGAAATGGACATAAGCTAAAAGTTAAAGACAACTCACTAACTCTTTAACTATTAGAGAAATAAGAATAGCATAAAATGAAATTAGTAGATAATTCAAAATCTGTTTCATAGTCACTGGGTTCAACTTCTCATTTGAAACAAATACTAGCAAATAAAATGACTGCTTTGTTTTCTTTATAAATCATGAAAGACCATGAAAAATCAAACATTTTGTACTGTCTTAAAGTTTAATTACTAAGTAATACAAACAAAATACTACATTTGATTTGGATATTATAGAGTGCTTCTGAAAATGTCTATTTTTTCCCTTTTCATAAAATGCCAATTGAAGAAAATACAGAAAAGCATAAAGAAAAAACCACTATTCATAATTCCATCATTTTGGAGAAACACACATACCAGAACTTTGGCATATATTTTTTCAGCTTATTTTCTCTCTGTGTGCTTATAACTTTTTTAAAAATAGAATTATTTGATTATACTTTTGTATTCTACTATTTTAACCCAACGTAATACTATTAGCATGAACTTATACAGCTGTGTTATGTTCCTATATGAATATACCTATCTTATTTATCCACTTTCTTATTGTTTGATATTTAGATTGTTTCATTTTTTTAAATTATAAATAAAACTTTAATGAATTTTTAAAACAATTTTTATTGAATCAAAGTTGATTATGATTATACGTATTTTTGAGGTCCAACATTGAGATATGTTGATCAAATCAATATTACTAGCATATATATTGTTACAAATTGTAATTATTCTTTATGTCCCTTGTCCAATCTCCCCATCCCCCTGTCCCTCCCCCTTCCTCCCTCTAATTACCCTAGATTTCTTCTCTCCTTCTGAAATAATGGTTACTCTGTTGATTTGTTGCCTAGATGATCTGCCCAATGCTGAGAGGTATAATCAGGTCCCCCAATATTATTATAGAGCAGATGCTTCTTCTGTCACTCTGAAATGGACTTTGTGGGGAGAGACGTCCTCTTCTTTTCTTTATCTCTGCTGGTGACTCTCCTTGTGTCAATGCACTCCAGTGGCTGGTGGACCATCTGCATGGTGGTTGTGGTGTCTAGCTGCTTTCATGGCAGCCATGGTTATTGTGGTGGCTGTGGTGGGCCACCCACATGGAGGTGATGTTTTTGGCATGCTCCTTTGTGCTGGCAGTGTGCCTGGTTGTGGGAGGGGGTCTGGTCCCCTTCTCCATACCTCGGGTCCCTGGGCAGGACCTGAGATGCTGGCAGTGTAAGTGGTTGTGGGCAGGGGTCCTGCTCCTGGCTCCATACCTCATGTCCCCTGGCAGGCCCCAAGGCACTGGGGGTGTGCCTGGGCTGGGACTAATTTTTTGTCCTTTGCTTACTTCTAAAATGGGGGAACTTCCTGTGGGAACCAATACTTGAGCTGTATGGTTGAGCTAAATTGATGCTTTGCTGCTGTTTCCCTAGGGAAGGCTTTTTGTGCAGCTCAGGGTTTAATGGTTTACCTTATAGGTACTTCTGGCTCTCCAGAGACTTGGTGCACATGGATTGTGTAGAATCTCTGATCTGGGCTTGAGTTTTTTCATTAAACTGCACCCCATGCAATTCTGCATTCCTGACCACTCTCCTCTGAGTGGTCCTACACTGATTGGGGGGCAGATCGGCTGTCCTTGCTGTGCCCCAGTGTTCTCCTGGTGGGCCTGTCTCCCCCACCTCCCATGCTCCAAACACTTCCCATGGGACGGGCCCTGCACTGGTCCCTTGTGATGACTCACCAGCCTCTGAATGTCTCCTCTTTTTCAGCTGTTCTGGCTCCTCGCTCCTCCGTGGGTCCACAGAAACCCTATTAGTGGTCTTGCTGTCCTGGGGGCCACCAAAGCACTCTTCTCCCCTGCTGCCTCCAAGTAACTCCATCTGAAGGGCACAGCTGCAGCTTCTGCTGGATCCTGCTCCGTGCACTCAGCAGCTAGAACCTTAAAACAGCCACGGCCTGAAACTCTTCAAGCAGTTTTTTCTTTCTCTCATTGTGGTGTCTCCCGCTTTCATGAGTTCCGTAGGTCTCTCCTCCTCTTCCCCTGAGCTCTAGCAGCCCCAGCTTGGCAGATGTTGCATTTTTATAGTTATAAATTGGTTGATTTGTGGGAGTGAGTGATGCTGGGGACTTCTATTCTGCCATCTTGACCGGAACTCTTTAATGAACATTTTTATAATAGACATTTGTCCTCTTTTTCCACAATTTTCTTAGGATAAATTTATAGAAATATAATATTTGCTTTAAAGATTTTGAACATTTAAATGGTTAAATATGTTTAAAGTGGTTCAGTTTGGATGAAAATATATGTTTAAAAATCATTTATAATTATTAATATAACAGAACAATATTATAGAAGATAATCTCTGTCTTGAGGTATGATCATTATCATTATTTTTATTAAGCATTTATTTAGTACCTACATGAGAGAAATTTTAAAACAAGTTAGACAAATTTATATAGCAAATATAATAGATGACAACTATGATTACAGACAAACAGGTGAATGACGAGGCAAAAGTCAAAGACACACCAAGCACATAAAACATAATTTAAAAACACAAAAGAGCACTAGATAGAAGTAGAGTGATAGAGGATATTTTTCATCTAAGTAATTTTTTTCTTTGAGTGAAGGTCATTATGCAATGGTGATATACCTAGATTATAAAAACAGAATTTTCACTCAGAAAGAGACAAGTGAAAATGAAAAAGGGGCCGTAAGATCAGAATTTGACAGGTGAGAATGAGACTGTTGAGAGTGGGCCGCTGTCAGGGGCACCCTGATAATATGGAGAGGAAAACACGGCATGTGCAAACAACACAATCTGTGCTTTGGAATCTCAGAAAAAGACACATTGATGAGCCACATGAGACAGGTGTCTTCAATTAAAAACAAAGGCTAAAAACGAATCAAGAAACTTTACTGGGTTCCATTTCCCACTCCTCTCCCTCTGTGGCTCCTCTGCTTAGACACAATGGAAAGTGCCAGAACCAGGTTGATGCAAACCTGCTCAGAGCTCAGATTATATCGTTGTGACCCTTTGTCTTAAGAAATTCCCACTTCTAACCCAGTTTAGATTGGATGAATAAATTCAACATTGGTTTGTATACCTACCCTTCCCTGTTGATCTTTGCTCAGGGTTTAAATCCTCTGAAAACTCAGATTTGGTTCGATTTTATTAGTAGAGAAGAAGTGAGTACGGGAAGAGGCCCAAAATTGTCAGTGGGGAGAAAAATTATTTTGTATATCTTTCTGTGAATGAATGAATACATCTTCAAATTGAAAGAGGATAAAATGAGTTTTAGGATGAATTAGTTTTAGGTTTCCCATTTAGCATGATGATTTCCTCAGTTTTCCTATATTCTTTTCCCCAAGAGGATTGTTTTTCACATATTTCCCATTTCATAGGTCAATGCTTTTGATTGTCCGGTAAAATTCCACTGTAGATGCAGCTTTCGTTTTGGACTACTCAGGCATTTGGTAAATTTGACCTCCATATCAGTATATTTCTCTCTGGATTGTTTTTCCTTACCTTGCCTTTCTGAAGAAGGCTTAAGGTTCAGGTCAAATCAATTGCCACCACTTTTCTAAAGGTTTTCCTAACTCTTCTTCAGCTTAATCACCCTTCCCAGTACCCTTACTCTCTCTCCAGCAAAATTCACTTAAACTTTTCAAATTAGCTCTTAGTACACATCTTTGGCAGAAACACTAATCATTCTATATTGTAATCTATTTGCTTACAATTTGGTTACAATATAGAATGTGTCTACCCCACGTAAGCTTGACTCTTCCAGGTTACTATTTATTAATTGACATGTATTGATTGTACTTATTTATGGGGTTCAGAGTCATATTTCAATATATGTATACAATGTGTGATGGTAAAATCAGGGTAATTAGCATATTCGTCATTGCAAAAATTTATCTTGTTTTGTGATGAGAGAATTTGAAAATTCACTAAATAAATTTTTTTCCCCTTGTCTCTGAAAGTAAATATGTCTGAAAGCTCTCTATAAATATTAACCCAAGCGTCACTAAATTTAAGGACAAGTGCGTCTGTGGGTCCATTGATTTTAAGGTTTTACTTCTGCAGAACACCAGAACAATTTCCCAGATATTCTTTCTCCAGTTGTATTAACTTCTCTCAAATTTTATTACTTACGTAAAGGAAACTGGAGATATTTAAAGGCAACAAAGCACTACCTGTTTTGTGTTTAGACTCACATGCGGTCAGTTGCTGTTTATGGGCAGTATGGGGGCCAACCTTGTACTGGAAGTGCTTTTGAAACACAATCGTGTGAACCTGTAAGAGGATGTCCAGCAGAAGAGGGGTGTGGAGACCGTTTCAGGTGTTTTTCAGGTAATTTGTTTCCAATGGGCTCAGCATGCAGACTGTGAATTCAAATGCTACTTGCTTAATTTGCTTAATATATATTTATTGAATTTTACTGAATTTATATTGGGCTATAAATTACTTTTTCCCAAATATCAACAGGATTTTTGTTGACATATTGATCACACACTCAGGTATCATTCTTTCAAATGCAAGGGGAAGCATCTAGTAATAAAGGTGGAACTATGGCTATTGACAGATCCAAACAGCTCTTGACATGGCATTTTCGGTGACTGTGCAGAGTGAGTCTGGTATGTACACTGTGAATGGGCAAAAACAATGTTACTGCCCTAATTATTATGTTTACAGGAAAAGCTACTCTAATTATCTAATCAAGGAGCAATACATGTTGTCTCTATGCCTGGGGCTATTGAAACATACTTTTGACATTGAATATTATTTGACCTATTGTCTGTGTTGCATTTATGCAGTCCGATTAATGCAACAACTTTTAGCAAACATTTATATTCTTGTTATGTTCCAAATATAGTGCTGAGGGTTGTGGTATAGAAATAAAACACATTGCCTCTTCCCTCAAAAGTATTAAAGGTTTATGGGCAGAATAGTAAATAAATAATCCCTGTGTTAGAAGTGCTCCTCAACAATACCTGTCAAAATTCTATTTTACTTTCAAAATCCAAATTGGATAACATCTGTCTTGGGAAGCCTTCCTTAAATCCCCAACTGATAGAACTAATTGACAAATCACTTCTCCATGTTCTCTTTGTATCATCTGCAATCTGAATATTTGTTGGTCAAAATTCTATTTTACTTTCAAAATCCAAATTGGATAACATCTGTCTTGGGAAGCCTTCCCTAAATCCCCAACTGATAGAACTAATTGACAAATCACTTCTCCATGTTCTCTTTGTATCATCTGCAATCTGAATATTTGTTGACCTGAATGTCTCTCTTGGTAGACTATGAACTCCTCAAAGACACAGATTATGTATTTTTCTTTTTGGCATCTGGAGTGCCTGGTACATAGTAGGCTCTCAACAAATGTTTGCTGTATTGGATTGAGTGACAGTATAGTGGGGTACATGTTATGCTATGAAGGCAGTTGTGCACAAAGCATCCTGTGAGGATGCAGAAGAACATGCATCATAGCCTGTGGGATAGGAATGGTTTTCAAGAGGAGATAATGTTTAATTTGATTCTTGAAGAACAAATAGGAGATAGATAAAGAAAGCACTTCTAGACAGAAAGAACTTGAAGTGTAAGATCATCGGAGATGACAGAAAGTCTGGCCTTTTACTCATTCAAGTCATCCAGTATGACGATGGCTTAGGAAGCTAGCAGGAGAATGGCTGGAGATGATGGTGGGAGGTAGGTGGAGGCTAGATCATCTACCCTCCAGAGCTTCCTTGGTACCCTGGGCTTATGGCTATCACAACCCTCATGTTGCTGAAATACAATAATCTATGTCTTCATAGTCTTTCCTATTACATTGTAAAGTATATGAAAAGTCTGGCAAAGACCATTTTTTCTCATATTTGTACTCCAACACCCAGAAGAGTGTCTTGCGCAGAATAGGTGCTAAAAAATGTCAAGTTTTAACCTTTTGATCCATTTTCCATGTTCTTGAAGCTTACAAATCTAAATCACCAAGAAAAAGGTCAGCTTTGGCATCTTGGTTAGTGATTACAGAAAAGAGATCAAAAGTTGAAGTGCAGGAGGTCAATCCATCTTCCTAGTAGTCGGCATTGCATAATTTTGGAGGATTTAGACCAACTCTTTGATGAGTATGGGTGAGAGCCTGAAACTTTGAATTCAGGTCTTCTTTTCAATGTTGTGTCTATCCCATGTCAGAATCATTTCTGTGTGCTGTAAAATAGAGACCAAACAGTCACCAGTCCTTTCCTAGACACTTTGAGGCTTTATCTCGAATTTACATTACAGTATCAGTGCAGTGGTGGGGGTGGTAGGCAACACCTTTTTGATCCCAGTTTGTATCTCTGTTCTTCCTTCTTTTATATTTGCACGAGAGCTTTTCTTGTCCTCAGGTCAGTGCATCAGCAAATCGTTGGTGTGCAATGGGGACTCTGACTGTGAAGAAGATAGTGCTGACGAAGACAGATGTGAGAACTCAGAAAGCAGACCTACCTGTGACATTGATAAACCTCCTCCCAACATAGAACTTACTGGAAATGGGTAAGGAGCTGGGCAGCTTCCCGAGCACATCAATGCATTGTAGTTATTACTTTTGTTTTATCATTGGCCCTGGTGTTAGCACTGAAAATCCTGCATCCAGAGAAAAATCCTGCATTCCTTCCCATCTAAGGAAACCTGGACAGTTGGCAGTTGGTCACCCTGTAGGGGACAGTGAGAGAGGTAGAAAGAGGATGGAGAGGGGAGAAGACTGATTTGATAATGTGGGGCTACTCAAGAGGGTGAAGAGAATAGTATGAGAACAGGGAGAGAAGAGAGAAATGCACGAATTGTAATATCCAGGCTGAAAAGCAACTGCCTGAACTATCGGGGAACCTCCATTTCCAAGTGAAGTTGGAAAAAGTCCTGTTTGCCTTTTCAAAAAAGAGTTCTGAAAAACTTTTAGGCGTCATCTGACCTAAGTTAAATTTCCATGCTTTAAACTAATCTATTTTAAAGTGATAGATGTGATTTTTCTATAATATTTTTAAAAAGAAAAGGACAAAATTACTTTAAAGAGCATACCATTCAGCATGCTGAAAGACAGTTGAAATTTGTTGGAGAGGGCTCTCTCTCCTCAAGAGTAACCTTCATTGTATTCATTTTATCTATGATTTAATTCAAAACCAGCTGTTGCCATAGATACAGCAGGGCTATTTGTTTCCTAAATACGTTCTTAGGCTAAAAGTCTGTTAGATTTTCCCAGCTGTTAGTTTTAGCTATTATTCCAAGCAGTAGAAGGATAATGTGTGGTGTGCATTAGAATGCTGTTTTCTTTATTTGGGCCCTCTCCAAGAAGTGTTTAACCCTTAACATATTTTTTAAAGTTTTAGAGTTCCCTAATGATGCTTTTTTCAGCAAGTGCTATTTCTGGGTCTTAACTTTCTTTTCTTCCCTTTGCCCCCTTCTCCTTCTCGGCCTTTTCTCCCACTTTCTTCTTTTTTACCAGTTACAATGCACTCACTGGCCAGTTTAGGAACAGAGTCATCAACACCAAAAGTTTTGGTGGTCAGTGCAGAAAGGTATTTAGTGGGGATGGAAGAGATTTCTACAGACTCAGTGGAAACGTCCTCTCCTATACATATCAGGTACTTAATTACATTGATGTAATTGGTTTCCAATCTGTGAATTGTCAGAGATCATTATTTATATTGACTTCTTGGTATTTGTTGAGAATTTACTTATGGACTAATATGTGCTCAATTTTTATAAATGTTTGTGTGGGCTTAAAAAGAATACATATTCTTTAACTCTTGAGTACAGGGCAATGCTACTTTTAACTTGTGTCCTTCAAACTGATATTTCTTTATGCCTCATTTTTAACTCCATGTTCCATGTGGGCCCAGGACCTTACTGTCTGTCCCTGTAAAGGTGTTAAAACTCAGGCTCAGGCAATGACTGGTTACGATAATCTCCTTACAATGCCACAGTGTCAGCTCACTTAAAAATGCTTTTGTTTTTAAATCATGAAATATTTCATATATACAAAAGAATGTGGATAACATATATGTGCAGTTAGAAGAAAACTAATAAAGCAAATACTCATATATGCCCACCATCTACCTTAAGAAATAAAATATTGCCAGTGACTTGAAGATTCCTATGTGTCCCTCTCTGACCACATTCTTCCTGCCTCCCCACCCCGCTACCACTATCTTATATTTTGTACTAATTATTTCCTTGTTTTTCAGAAATATTTATTCTGCATATGTCTTTGTCCCTAAATAAAAAATTGTGATTTCATTATGCCTAGATTTTATTGCCATTTATATAAACAGAATCATATAGTATATATTCTATGACATTTTTTTCATTCACAGTTATGATTTCAGGATCTATTCAGATTTCATTATGCCTAGATTTTATTGCCATTTATATAAACAGAATCATATAGTATATATTCTTCTATGACATTTTTTTCATTCACAGTTATGATTTCAGGATCTATTCGTGCTGATGAAGATGGCATTTTTACTGCTATTCCCAATTTTTTTGTATGTGAAAATGCCTTGAACATTCTTGTGCATGAGTCCCATACAAATGAGCTACAGTTTCTCCAGGGCACACACCTGGAACTCAAATTGCTGCTCTGAGGATGTGGATATACTGAGCTTGACTAGGTAGAGTTCCCACAATGGCTGGATCAATGCATATCCCACTAGCAGCATGGAAGGGTGGCCTCTGCCCCACATCCTTGCCAGCCTTGGTGTTGGCTGACTTTTTCATTTTGCTTGTGATCTCAGTGTCTCCTATGGCTCCAGGCTTCTGCTTCTCGAATGCTCTATTCTCGAATGCAGTCATGTACACCTCCACACATCCTACTTCTCAATTTCAACAAAAAATCTACTCATGAAAAACAGTTATGTCTTTAGGGGACTTTCCTGGGGCTTTGGAAGGAAGATAGAGGAGAGATTTTCTGTTGCAGTAGTGTCAACACATTCAAGCAGTAACTGTTGGTGTCCTCAGTCGTGAGACATCCACAGCCTCAACAAAATGAACTTTGTGGTCTCGTCCTGTCGTAGCCTCTTTCTTGCTCTCCACTTTTAGATCCACTCCCTCACTTCCTCTCCTCCCTTCTTCCCAGAACTCCCCAAGTTTCCAATTCAGCCCTCCTTAACTATTACTCCCAAATTTGTAAACCAAAACTCTTAGGATGTTACATAAAACAACTTTTTCTTTACTGAAATCAACCCTCTCTAGAAAGTGGGTCTGATTAGAAATAGCAAACTCACCATACGATAGAATAGGTTAGTTACAATTAAGACTTATTGAATCATGAAAATGAAAAGTGAAAATGATGTGAAAAATAACCCTAGCTACCAATTTTTGAATATCTGCTATGACAACTGCACTATTTTATGCAATTGGTATAGATTTTCCTCGCAACAGCCTTAGAAGGTAAACAATATCTTATTATTTTATATATGTAGAAATTGAAGCTCAGAGGGCTTCAGCTGAGTTACTCCAAGTTACCAAATTAATAACTAGTAGAACTTGGATCAAGTCTGCCAGATTTCATGGCCCTTTATTTTTCTATTACATTTTACTCTCCCCATTTATTGCCTTTAATTTCTTTTTCAACTCAAAATTCTACACAGTAACTAATATGTGTTGTAATTTAACCTTTGGCCAGAAGGGAGAGTGTGAGATGACATACATAAAGAATTTTTTTCTCCCTCTGTTCCTAGGAGGATGTGTTGCTAATTCTGTCATAATTGTAAGGGGGAGGACTGCATATATATTTTTTGAAGGGTCAAATTTAGAAAGTTGCAGAGCAGAGAAAATAATAAGGAAGAGCATTTCTAACTTAGTTGGAAGGTAGACATGTGGGAAGTCTGCAGTTTCTGAAGAAGAGGAATAATTTAATAACAGCCCGATCCTGACATTCATTTTCCTCAGCAGGGCTTGGTTTTTGAATTGACATCTGAAATACCTTTCCAGTCACTGAATGTGAAGGTGTCTGTCAGAAGTGGAGGGAAATTATAGCCTGTTATTGTGTGAGGAATAGAGATGTTTTGAGGATCCAGTGTGAGGGGAGAGAGGTGGAAGCAACAGGCAGTGAGTCAGTCATCTAAGCGCTAGACCCACATGCAGACATGGAGGCAGCAAATGTCCTCCATAGTTTGAATAAATTGAA